GCTACTAATATAACCCTACTAGGCTCTTAGCGGCTAATATAGATATATATAACCTAGTAATATAAGGATAGTTAGGGATCCTTAGAAGGGAAGAACTATAGTATACGTTATATAATAATAAGATAAGGATTATTTTAGATTAAAATAATCTAGATAGACTTAGGGGCTAAATAATTATTCTTAATTAGAATAATCTAGCTTAACCTAAGGTATAAAGAGTATATACTAGGAAAAGGACTTATATATAGGATGGACTTGAGCTTAGCTTAAGGATAGACTTCTATAGCTCTTTAGTAATTAACTTTATATTTATCCCTTAGATACCTTTAGTATATCTTATACTATAAATATCTTATTAGGCTTATAACTAATTACTATAACCCTTAAGACTCTAATCTATTTAGGACTATACTAATAACCTTATAATAATATATTACTATTTATTAGTGTTATCCCTCAGCTTCTATTAGTAGACCCTACTGTTGGATAAGCTGACCGTAATACTAGATAGTTATTCTTAAGAAAGTCTAGCTAGTAGTTAATATAGCTCCTATAGATATAAAACTCCCTTATAAACTAGTAATAGAGATAGGAGTTCTAATCTATATTAGGAGGTTATAGTAGTACTACCTTAATATTATAGGGTAGAAGTAGTAGCTAATTATAAACCTTATTAATATCCTTAAGGAAGCTAACTATATAGCCCTTATAGAGGTATTATATACTATAAACTTAGTAGAGATTAATAGCTATATAAACCCTTATAATAAGTATCTCCTTAATATATATAAGCTTAAGTAGGAAGTTAGGGATACTACTAAAGTTAAGCTTATTATTATTAGAGTAATAGTAAACTTATTAATATCCTCTATATACTCTATCTTAATTATAGTAACTATAATAGATACTATTATTATTAAGCTTTATATTAAACTACCTCTCTCTATACTACTAGTAAGTCTCTATTATATCTTACTTAAAGGTATTATAGAATAACCTAATTAACTTAATATCTATATTATAAAGAGCTAGTATATTAAAGTTATCTATAAATAGAGGGTTAAATATATAGAGATTATATTATATTAGATTAATATAGGAGCTAGGAGTAGGGGATCCTTAAGTAGTAATAATAGGCTTAAGTTAAATAGGCCTAGGTAAAGATCTAGGAGATATAGATAATATTAGTAAAATGGGCGATATAGGAGAGACTAGTAATAATAGTAAAGCTAGGTAAAAGGGACTATCTAGCTTTAAACCTAGCGGACTATAGCTCTTATAATTATTATACTTAATATATACTAAGTAAGTAGTAAACTTATAGTACTTATTATTAATAGCCTCTATAAAATAGTTAATTTAAAGTATATTATACTTACTATTAAAGTACTACTTATATTTAGTATTTAAGTTATATCTAGTAATACTATCTCTATAGTAGTAGTATTAATTAATAATAAGCTAAATCTAATAATAGCCTACTTAATAGAGGTTATAAATCTTATAGAAGAAGTCCTTAAGTATATAAAGGTTACTATAGCTACTTAGGTTTAGGTTTTAACTAACGATCTATTAAGATATAATATCCTAAATAGTTAGAGTAGGGGAATAATTATTCTTTCCTTAGTGAGCCTTAATAGAATAATAATATAAGATAGCAGTAACTTTATATCTTATTAAGGCTTTAGTAGGAATATTATCTAGGTTCTAATTATATTAAAGATATATTAATAGGTAAGATACTAATATAGATAATATTATATAGTAAATAGATAAAGATAAACTCTTAGCTTACTATTTAGTATCTAAAGTAGGATAGATAGGTACTAGGTAGTAAGAAAGATAGGGTAAATAGCCTTAATAAGGGGCTAGAGTTAGTAATATCTATACCTAATTAGATTAGCTTATTTATATAATTAAGGTTTATACGCTTAAGCTAAAGCTAAATATAGCCTTAGTTATATAAATTAACCTAATAAGTAAATACTTAATATAAATAACCTATAAAATAGTGTAATACCCTATACTATATATACCTAGTAAAAAAGCCTTAACTATATAACCTAATATACTTATTATACTATTAAGCTCTTATTTAGCCCCTATTTATTTAACTTATTTATAACCTAACTTCTTATAGTATAGTATAAATATATAGCGTTCTTATTCCTATCTATAATAGAGATATATTTAGCTATAACTTAAATAGTAATAGCTTTAACTTACTACTACCTCTAGGGCTTATAGAAATGCTTAATATAGCTATAAGTATAAAAGAGTATTAAAAAGTCTAATTATTATTTTCTATAACTTTATACCTATATAAATACCTATAAAGACTCTTTTAGTCTAATAAAAAGAAACTCCTCTAAGTATCTTTTATAAACTACTTTACTAAATAGCTTAAACCCCCCTTAATTTTCTAACTAAAAATAAAAAGAATACTATATTATTATAAAATAACTCTAATAAGTACTTAGATATTATAGACTTCTTTAGGGACTTCTCTATAGCCCCTTACTCTCTATATAAAAACTAATAATAATAAAATAAGTTTAATACCTAATTTATTATCTTTAGTAATTTAAGCTAATGGGTAATATATACCTTATAATATAGTATTAAGAGACTATTCCCTTTCTATATTAATTATACTTTATATAAGAATAATATATCTTTCTCTCTATTAATACTATAGTACTAGCTATCTTATAGAAGGAGATATAAGGTAAAGATACCCTTAAGATAAATATAGACTTAATTATAAAATATAAAGTAATATAAAATAAGATTAAAATAGAGTAGAAAGTAAAAGAAGAGAAATATAATATAATCTAAAAGCTATAGGACCCCTATTATATACTATAGTATAAATATATATAAAATATAATTATATTAATATATATTAAAAGTAACCTAATTATATATATTAATTATATTAAGTATATAAAAAAGTATATTATATTAGAGGTAAAATAAAGGTTATAAATTAAAGAGAGGTTATTAAAAGTATTAATTAGTTATAAAGGTTATTAAACTATTCTATAGTTATATATACTTAAAACTAAGTTATTAGTTATTAAATAGAAAATCCCTATAGTATAAATAAGTTCTAAACTAAAAGTAATATATTTATACTCCTCTACCTAAAGGGTAAAGAGTTCCCTATTTACTAGGTAGAGGACCTTAAATTAGCTTATTATAGGTAGTAAGGAGAGTAGGCTTAAATAGATAGGCTAATAAGGCTAAATAGGGCAATAAGGTAGAATATACTATATATTAAGATAAAGTTATAAAGGTAAAATAGGGCCCTTATAGCTACCTTAAAATAAGCTAGCTATCTTAATAGATTGCTTCTCTATAGATCTAGAGGATAAGGAAGATACCTTAGGTTAACGTTATAGAGGGGTAAATATTAGTATATTAAAACTAATATAAGTAAGAGTTTAAATAGTATAACTTAAGGTAGATTACTATTTAGTAGGTAATTATTAGTATATAGTAAATAGAGGTAAGGATAAGAGGATAGTAAACTTAGTTAGCCTATTTAGTATAATACTTAGCGTAATTAGTTATATGCTTAGAGGGATTATAAACTCTAATAAAGCTAGAGTCTAATAGGGATCTTCTATATATCTTATAAATGTAATAAGATAGAATATTAAGACGATTAGATAGAAGAGGAGGCTTAAATAGAGGTAGAGGAGGACCTCTAGGAGGGCTAATAGTAGAAGATAATATTATTATAAAATCTATAGATAATACTAATAACTAATAATAATATTATAATTTAGCTATAACGTTATTATTATTATTATTATTACTAATATAAATAATTTTTTTTATATATATAGAAAAGTTATTAAGTTTAATATATATAGGTAAATATTTAGTAATAGGTAGTAGCTAGGTAGTAATTTTAAATTTTAAGTACTTTTTATAATATTTACTATAATAAAAGAAAAAAATACTAGATTATAGATAATTACTACTATAGTAATATTTAAAACTTAAGTCTTAATATAATAATTTAGTCTTTATATATATCTTAGAATAGTAGATATTAAACCCTCTAGGGGCCCTCTAGGAGCCCTCTAGGGGCCCTATAGGGCTTTTCTACTGCGCTTAGCTTCTCCTAGGGGGAGACCCTTTAGACCCCCCCCTCTATTTTACTAATTCCTAGGGAGGTTCCCCCCCCTAAACCCCCCTAGCCTCTAGTAGCTACTATATAGGGCTATTACTACTTATATAGTAGTGCTATAATATACATTCTAACTAAGCTACTCTTACTAAACTTAGGTAGGTAATAACTATTACTAGAAAATCCTTAGGTAAAGCTAGCTAGCCTATAACGTTATATAATTATTATCTAATAATAATTGCCCTAATATATAGCTAGCTAATAATAGTTAGGTTGCCCTTAGCTAATAATAGTAGTAGAGGCTGGATTTATTTCCTATAAAGAAGCTATACGCCTATTGATAATCTGATGACGGCGCTCCGCTTAATCAACATCTAACCCAAGAAGGCAATGCCGCGCGTTCGCGTGAACGCCACCTGAGATAGAGTCGTTTCTATATACCCAAAGTAGAAAATGCTCTCTCGAATGCCAACCTCACGGATGCTCAGCTGCCAAGGAATCCCACATCCGGCACGAGATGTAAACAAGCCGGCCAGCAGCTCTCGTCGATGGCCTTGGCCATCATGAGACGTCCACGTACACATTTGACTCAAAATGTTGTCTCTATTCTAGATCTTTAAGAACTTCAGAAGGCTATTCTACTCCTTCCACTGTCGATGTCTCGCTCTGGCCGGTGTAAGAAAAGCAACCACATCATCTCCCCGCGTGTCTCATCACAAAAAAGCCACCCCGGCTTTCGTCCCAGCAACAACGCTAGAATGCCTCAAAGATAAAGCCCTGTCTAATACCCGTGACCAAATCTCAAGCGCCCCATGCTCTCACAAACTATACTCCCCTCGCCCCAGATTCCAAGCCCCCCTCATTGCGCCGCAACCAAGCTCATGTAAATCCCCCAAACGACACCAGCCAACGCGCCCACCAAGTTCCTGCCCTCGATGCTCTTGATAAAACTAAAGTTCACAAGACTGACGAGCGGCCAGAGCTTCAGGCCCGCGAAGAAGATGGGCAAGAAGTCCGCCCGCGCCCGCGCGACGACGACCTTCCAGTCGACCCGGCCGTAGTCGATGGCGCCGCGCGAGACGAGGAACCTGGCCGAGTCCTCCGGGGCAGACAGGTGCGCGGGGCGCGCCATGGCGGCCTGGATGCCGCCGACGAACATGCTGAAGGCGAGGGTGTTGAGGGCGGCGCCGACGGTCTGGTCGAGGAGGAGCTTGATGATCGTGTTGCGGATGTTGAGCTTGGGCTCGACGAGCTTGTTCTCGCGCGCCTCGCGGTCGAGCTCCTTCTCGTCGGAGGCCGAGGCGGATGCGACCGCGTCCCGGGTCGGGGAGACGTGGTAGGCCGGGAAGCTCTGCTCGAGGAAGTCTTGCCTGTGGGTGGTGTGTCAGTGGTTCCGAGGAGATGAGAAAGATGGCAGGTTTTTGGGCTTTTTGAATGACGTGATTGCGGGTGAGCGGGTGAGAGAGAAAGACTCACCACATGAAGTTGGGCGGCGTGCAGACGATGGCGTTCATGATGAACTGGAAGACGGGCACCCAATCGATGACGAGTTGGCTCTGTTTCCAGGATTAGTATGGACGCCTTAGATGTTTATGTGAGAATACAGGATCTGAAGCGTCATGGCTTCTTGTCCGGATATCTGCGCTCTGGATTCTTCATACATCGGAGCGGTAGGCCGTCAGCGCCTGGGCCAACAGGTTGGAGGTGCCGGCCAGGATGGCCGACTGCAGCGTCGCGTTGACAATGGGAGGGAGAGCCATCTCAGGCGATGATTCTCAAGCCGCCGTGAATTCGACGAATTATTGTGAGGATTCGACGATGAGCTCCGATGAGAATAATGATGGTGACCTCGGTACACCGCCGGCCCGGATCAAGATTCCAAGGATAAGATGATTCGCAGGGCTTGAAGCAAATACGTTTTCCCGGGAGGATGTGATGGAGGAAAGAGAGGCAACGTCAGATCAGCTCCGTATGGCTCAGTTGAAGATTATGTAGGTAGTCGAGGCAACATGCAGAACCCGGAATCTAGGACCGCAGAGTCGATCTGGCGGGGGATTGTGGGGACGCAGGAGAACAACGTGCCCCGGTTTGTGGAGGTGGTCGGCCGAAGTTCGGGTCGACGAATGGGGGATAAGCTGATCGGGAAAAAGAGCGGGGCGCTTGTGACAGTTGTCTCGTCAATGCCTGCGGAACACATAGCTTGAAGAATAAGCTTGACGTGTCAATCGAGAGCTATATTACCAATCTGTTGTGAAGTACCGCGCGGCTGCCTATCCGGTGTACGCCCTCAGGCAGGGAGTCTGCGTCACCATGAATACGACCCCACGATGCAGGCTACGTAGTGAATCGGCAATAGCTGTGTATTTTGAACGGTATGTTTTGCTCCATCCCATCTCCTTGCGCCGCGGCATGTACCTGGTTACCGTGACCCTTATGCTACAGGGAATGAGCTTCTTGTCACTCCTCAGCATGATGCTCGGCGTTCTCCAAAAAACGACTGGCCTCTATTGAAGCAAACAAACACCCGCGCGCTCAACGAAGTGACGTGTCGCATTATCGTACAGTCCGGCCCTGTGGCCAGATCGCGTCGGCATGTCATCATGCGCGCCCTATGACCGGCAAATCCCTTCCTTCTATATGACTTCGCGTCCATGCTCCCCAGCACTCCGTGACTCCCTGTTCATGCCGTCCTTTCGAAGCGTTCCTCTCGGCGCGAGATAAACTGGTCAATGTGGGCTCAAGGTCTGGACAGAACCCACATGAACAGCAGCTGGACAATGTAGGAGTAAAAGAACAGGAACTGCGTCCTCTGGTTGCGCTTAGCTCGGGAGTCGCCGGTCTGCATAGGGCCAGCGCCGTTCGCCGCGTTTTCGGGAAGCAGCACGTACTTCAAGGATCGCATCTACAGACGAAGTCAGCTAGTGTCTTCACGAGGAGAACTTCGCAAAACTTACCAGGAACAAGGAGTTGGCCAGGAACGTGTAGATGAATACCGACCAGCCAATCCAACCACCAGTACCCTTACCCGCGTTGAAGCTCTCGGCCACCGCAACCGTAACGATGATTCCGACAAACTTGTAGCCCGAGTACGCGATCAAGTCGTACAGTTGCGAATCGTTCGAGATACCCAATAGATAGCAACCCAGCTTCAAGCCCATAATCTCGGCAACAACTATCACCAGAGCCGTCGAGGCAGTGTATCCAAGAAGTTCTGGCTGGAACTGGCCGCGAAGACCGGCGATGAGGGTCGAGAGGAGGATGTACGTCACGACAGCCATGACGGGGATGTACATGTCAGGGCTGTTGATGTCGTCGCGCGGAGGCAGGTACCATCCTTCCTGGCCGCTGGGTCCCACAGACTGCTTGCGCGACCAGGGCTTGTGCCTCCAAGGGAAGAGCACGAGGAATAGCTTATTGATGACATACGAGTTGGAGACGTTGAAGTAGTGCTTCAGCGCGTTGACGTTAACGTAACGGTTGAACTACCAAATGTTAGCTTCCTGTCCCAAGATCCATTTCGCGAAGCTTCGCAGCGCAAAGCTCGAATCTGCAGTTTCCACCTACGTTCTGCTCCATGTATTCTTGTCCATGCTTGAAAGCCGTTTGTCCGAATTGCGCCGCAACTTGTGCCGTAGGGTCGTTCATGAACTGTCCGTATGCGCCGAAGACGTTCCCGCTCGAGCCTCCCTGTTGTTGGTACGGGCTTCCGTAGCTTTGCTGCGATTGCGTCTGCGACACCGGCGGGGGAGGCGAGCGCAACTGAGGAACCGTCGAGACATGCTGGGGTACGGGGTGATGCAGGGGAGGCGACTGGCCGTACGTTTGAGGGCGCTGCATGATGGGCAAGTCGTTCGGTCGTTCGGTCGTTAGAAAGTCGGGCGATTAATTGAAATGCGAGGTTCGTTCGATGAGAAGGGCGGTTGAGGATTAGGTCGCCGCGGCCGTTGGTGGGATGCCTCCCTTTTCAAGGTCGTCTGTTTCGAGGGGCTGCGAGCTAGGTAGGTACGTTGCAGATGGAGCTACCTTACCAAGGGAAATGTGTTTACTTCTGTGCATGTCATCATCGTGTGGACAGATCATCAGTTCGCACCGTGATGGCGTGTGGTGGAGCTGCCAAACACAGTGCAGGTTTTGTCACGGATTATCTTCTACTCCGAAGGCTTATCGATAGGGGTCCAGCTGCACCGTTGCGAACGCGCCCAGCCCAGGTTCCAGTCCATCTTATCGGACACGGGTCTGCGCCACAGGCCAGCTTTTTGATTGTCGAGGAAGTTCGCCTCCAAACCACTTTCCCCCTCTACCTGTCGTCAGTCGCCCCATTGTCAGCCGTCGTAGCGATTCAACGATCCGAAGGACACGAACGACAATGTTGGACACATTCGAGATCCTGACCACCTCAGGGGTGGTCCTCTGGTCAAGGACGTATGCGCCGGTCAACCCCTCCGTCATCAACAACTTCATTTCCGATGTCTTCATTGAGGAGAAGGCAGGTGCTGCTTCGAGCCAGTCTGCCGCCAGCAACCCACCGTACAAACGCGATCAACACACCCTGCGATATACCTTTGTTAAGGAACTAGGTGTCATCTTTGTGGTCAGTTGTCATGAGGCAGCCGATGCGAAAACCAATTGTGCTAACCTACCTGCTGCCAGGCCGTTTACAGATCGCTCCTCCACCTCTCATGGATTGATAAGCTGGTTGACAACATCAAGACGATCTTCGTCGACCTCTACGGCGAGCAGCTGACGAAGCCCCATACGACTCTGGTCGAGTGTCACAAGTTCGACGAGTACTTCGACCAACAGATGCGCGAGCTTGAGACGACGGGATCCAAGGGCGAGTCCAACATCTCGGACGCAGACTTCGCGAAAGAGGAGAACACATTGTCTGGTAACCTGGGGGATGACCCTCCGCTTCCCCCGGGTCTCCATTACAGGGGTAGGCATATTATGCGACTTGCTGTTTTCTACAAAGGCAAGCGGTGCTAACAGTACTTCAGGTCGCGGTATCAACGGCGCAAACGGTGCAAACGGCGGCGCTTCCACGAACGAATCGACCCCTATCGTCACGCCAAACACCTCGCGACCCTCGACCCCCGGTGTGGTAGTCGGCAAGGCCGGCCCCGTCGCAAAGATGTCCCGTCGAGCCCGGAAGGCGCAAAATCCAGGGGCTGTGCTCTCCTCAGGCGACGAGGCCCGACCCAGACCCGCGACTCGATCCTCGACGAAGAAGGGCCGTAAGTGGGATGCCGATGGCATGGCGGATGAAGAGGACGATGTCCAGCTCGACTACTCGGCAGCTCCGAGATCGGCTACGAGCGACTCCGAGGCCGAGACCACCGCCCGCTCTTCTGCCGTTGAGCACGTGGATGCCTCTACTTGGGGTAACAAGACATCAAAGGGGCAATTTGTTCTCAAGGACCTCGACGATGAAGTTCACAACATCCTCGCGACCGCGCAGTCAAAGACCGATTCGAAGACCGAGGCCTCTGGCGGACTTCTCGGCTCCGGGCTGAGCACGATCGGCGGCCTTTTCCGCAATGTGGTTGGCGGCAAGACCCTCACCAAGGCCGATCTCGAGAAGGCGATGAAGGGTATGGAGGAGCACCTTCTCAAGAAGAACGTTGCGCGCGAGGCGGCGATCCGTCTCTGTGAGGGCGTTGAGAAGGAGCTTCTTGGTGCCAAGACCGGCAGCTTCGAGAGTATTAATGCGAAGATCCAGTCCGCCATGGAGGCATCACTCACGAAGATGCTCACCCCGACATCGTCGCTCGACTTGCTCCGCGAAATCGATGCCATCACCGCACCATCCGCTACATCCCTGCGCAAGGCCCGCCCGTATGTCATCTCTATCGTCGGTGTCAACGGTGTTGGCAAGTCCACAAACCTCTCAAAGATCTGCTTCTTCTTGCTTCAGAACAAGTACAAGGTCCTCATTGCCGCCGGCGACACTTTCCGTTCTGGTGCTGTTGAGCAACTGGCTGTTCACGTCCGTAACTTGAAGGAACTCACTTCTCGTGAGGGTGGTCGCGTAGAACTGTACCAGAAGGGTTACGGCAAAGACGCCGCCACTGTTGCCCGTGACGCCGTCGCACATGCCGGACAAGAGGGCTTCGATGTGGTTCTCATTGACACTGCCGGCCGCAGACACAACGACCAGCGTCTCATGTCATCTCTCGAGAAGTTTGCGAAGTTCGCTCAACCCGACAAGATTCTCATGGTCGGCGAGGCAAGACCCTCTTTTGCCCCCTTTTGCCCCTATCTGCTGGCAGCATGACTAATACCCGCAAAGGCCCTCGTTGGAACCGACTCGGTAGCTCAGGCCCGCAACTTCAACGCAGCATTCGGCTCCGTCCGTACTCTCGACGGCTTCATCATCTCCAAGTGCGACACCGTGGGCAACATGGTTGGCACCCTCGTCAGTCTCGTGCACGCAACCAATGTCCCCGTGTTGTTCGTGGGAGTTGGCCAGCACTACTCTGACTTGCGTAATTTCTCTGTGAAATGGGCTGTTGAGAAGCTCCTCAGCAGTGCTTGATATAATTAAGGATGACCAGAACACATACAATTTTTTAATACGAATTGAATGAGATCAACATGGGTTCTTTTGTTTAAGACCCAATGATACCCCGGAATTCAAATCTCTGCAAGCCTGATCTGCGCGACGGTGCCTCCTTACTCTGTACCACCATCAGCCATCCTGCCATAATTGACTTGTTCTATCTTCTCGACAACGCATCGATATTAACAGTGCACGCCTTTTCATCCATTGAATATACATACTTCGCTGCCAACGGCCGAGTGAGAGCACTATCCTCAAGTAATCACATTTGCACATCGCCAGCCACACCAAATTTTACCTATGGAATGCATTCAACCCAATTGGTCATCTCATCTCCTCTCGCTCTGTGCCGACATCTGATCCAACATTGCAAAAGCATACCCTCCAGGAAAACCATGAACGTCCACGTAACCAAGTCTGGAAAACTAATCTCGACGGGAGCGGCCCAGAAAGAGAAGTAGCCACCCGAAGCCTGATCTTTCTGCGCCTGATCAGAATCGGATGCTACCGCCGGGCCCGAAACCTTCTCGTCTGATTTGCGTTCAAGCCAGAGGTCGTGCAACGGCGTGCCGCTGACCAGCGTGGCAAGCAAGGCTTGCATCCAGTCCATTTGTCCCCATTCGGGACGCGTCTCGGCGTCGGGACGGAGACTCTTGAGCAGACGCGAGACGTTCTCGTCTGTCAGGGTCAGCCTACAAATACCTCAAGTTGAGGCAGTAGCTCAGAATACATACGATCTAACTCCAGAAACGCGCGTGCGGTCGGCGGGAAGTTCGGTAATTGTTTTGGATCCCAGGCGGACACGTCGTATAGAGGCAAAAGCTTGCCTTCGAGCTCGTGTCGTTTCACGGATCGTGTGTTTTCTCTGCGTCGCCTTGGGTTGAAACTGGACGGAAGCTGTCAGTCGTTGCTACGTCACGAGAGATTTCCAACAGAGGGACTGACGCATCGGGCAGCTTAGGCCAGCGAGTGCCGTTTTCCTTGTTTCCATATTGGGGACTGCAAGAGCTGGGAGCAGACCTAGCTGGCTGAGCGACTTGGGAAGCGGGTTCGATGTCGACCTTGGTGGGTTTTCCTGCAAAGGCATTCAATCTAGGGGGCGGCGGGGAATGGCGGACAGTCGTCGCAGCCCTCTCCGTGGGTCGACTCAGGACTCTATCAACCCCGTCACTGACACTTCATTTTAGTTCGCGGTCGAGACTGCCAAGTGATGCGTCCAAGGCGTGGAGCTTCGCGCTCATGCCATTCAACCGACTTAGCTTCCGGTCGATGTCTTTCAGTCTGTCTAGCTTCTGGCTCATCTCCTCAAGCAGCGTGACGGCAAACCCTGGAAGACAAAAGGTTACCACATCTTCACTAGGAGCCCGTTACTGGGATCGCAGCGGTGTGGGAGACCAGTTGTAGAGTCTTTTACTGTTTCTTCATGCCTTCGACCGCGACAACCTCTTCGAACGAGACTCTTCTGGCGATGCTAACACATCGAAAGGAAGTTCACGCTTGGAGCATTACATTTAACTACCCGAATCATCTGTTGACGATGAATGGCCATGAATACCGAGTGGTCTGACTTGGTAACTACTGGTTTATTTCCTTGTTGGCTGGTTTGCTCCGTCAGCCACGTTCGCAGACCAACACCCCAACGTTACGAGACTGGACATTTTGAAACCAAGGCCAATCGTCCAACTCAAACTGGCAGGCCAACCTCTCGATTGCGCGAACAAAGTCAAAGACGTTGTTCGACGTCGGGCCTTCAATTGCATCGTAACAGCAGTATGAGTCAACCATGGAATTCGGCATGGCGAAATATTTGCACCCCTGTCCCTCGAATACGAGTCCCTCATCGTCGGGAGACTGGGTCCGAGCATTTTCCGTTGCCTCCGCGGTGGCGATAGGGATCTTGCGGCGGAGCCGATAGTCCACAACCCATACTCGTGTCAAGCCATTGCCTAAAGCACGAGGTCTCACTGCCTTAGCCAAGGCAGAATAACAATCCCAACGTTGGTAATTATTGACACGATAGTTTCGAGAATACCATGGTATCGCCCTACACTGCTCAACCTCGTCTGCGCTCCACGAAGGATCGAATTCGACGGCAATGTGAGCGACGCCTTCGTAGCCGAACTTCTGATTTGAGAAGGGCAGTAACTGCTCAATCAGGTAGTCGATAGGGGGCATTTTATCCTCCCTCCGAATTATGATGAGGTCGCGATGAGGGAGGATCGTAAAATATTGGGTTCCGCTCTCGGTCTGGGCCACGAACGTCGCTGGGAAAGTTTCCTTGTCGCGATGGCGCCATAGGCCGCGCCAGTCATACCATGCGGATCTGCGTCTCTTGTACTCGGACCGCTTCTCCCGTCTGAAAGCGGCCCATCTGTCGGGATTGTATCGGCGGTGCATGGCTTCGCGCGACTCTTTGCACGCGGTCCAGAGACCCCCGTCGATCGCATACGTCGATTTGTTACCGACGAGCCAGGAAGCAGGAGAAAAGGTATCTCCTAGTTCCGGTGCAGCAATCATGCAGCAACTTGAGTCATCTGTCTTCGCCAGCAATGCATTTTTAAGTCTTTCGGGAACTTTGTAAACGACCAGTATGGAAAAGAAGTGAACGCCGCGGCTGTCTCTCGGGCGAACGGCCCCGTCCCATATCTGCTGCTGGATCTCTGTTGGCAGCAGAGAGAACTGATGAAAGGTTTGTGTGGACGTCGTCTCTGATTGCTTATGTTTGGCGAAGTGTCGTTGTGTGCGAGTGTGTGTGTCGAGTACACAGCTCATTCGGTTCGCATATTCTATGAACATTATCTTGAAAATTCAGGCTGGGAAGCTGTTTAAATAGAAGAACGGTGTTTCCATTCCCAAAAAGTCAAAGTCTCATATGCATCTTCTCAAGGTTGAATTCATAGTAGTAAGGTTTCCACAAACCAAAAAGATGTTCAACTTAACTGAAGTTTAAAAGAGGACGTGTGCGCACATGCAATTGAGGAAAGACAGTACGAATTGGTAGGTTGCTCGGAAATCTATGAGAGCCCAGTTTTCTTCGTCTACAGTTTTGGGTCCGCGTTCCGCAACGAGGCCCGTCGACCGCATAAGCTTCATCGATTAGACGGCTCCGTTGCTTGCAACCCACTGGGATATGACCTGGCGAGCGGTCAACGGTGCGATCTCCGGGCAGATCCGCTTGAAGGAAGACTCAGTGCCAAGATCAGTCAGGCCATCGTCGATGATAGAACCCAGCTTCGCCATGTACGAGGTAAAGGCGTCAATCTGGTCGAAGCGCGTGTGTTTGAAGTCGTCAATCGTCGGGTGGGGCAGCAGAGTGCACCGTCCTTCTTCCAGGTCCTCCTTCTTGTCGTACGTAACCTCGAACTTGACGCCCTTGATTTTCTCACAGAGCTGGACTAGCTCCCTGGGCGTCAGACGGTCTGCGAATGAGAAGTAGCGTTTGTCCCAGTCCTTGAAGTCCAGAAGAGCAACGGTGAAAGAGGCCACGTCGCGCGTGTGTGCCCAGGCAATGTGCGTATTGCCGGAGCCGGGGATGACGGCGCGGTTGCGGCGGAGGTTGACGATCAAGCTTTGGATCTCAAGGTCGGATGGCACAACCGGCCACGCGAGGTAGTCGAGGAACAGCCCCGTGTGAACCAGGGTGTACTCAAGACCGCCTTTTTCAAGACGCTCAATCGTCTTGAGCTTGAAAGGAAAGGATGGACTCCGGTCTGCGTGTCTTTGATTCGTCAGTACAACCATTTCAGCTCGTCAGACCGCGAGACGGGAATAGAGAGTACTCACTGTGATTGCAGAGCTATTCCGAACTCACTGGGAATGAACCTTGTGGTTGTTGCAGAGAGATCGGCCGCTTCGATCAGGTTGAGCTGAGAGGTGTAGTGCTGCTCCGTGTACACTCCTATGGTTGAGATGACGACTTGAATCTTGTGTTTTTCAAGCACATTGCGGATGCTGCCGACGTTCGAGTAGTCGATACCGACCACTCCGAGTTCTCCTCCAGATTTCCTGCTGAGGATAATACACTCATGTTGAGTCGTCGCTTGGATGGTGTCGACGATGGTCTTGCCGAGCCCCGTGGCTCCGCCGGCAACAGCGACTCGAATCATAATGCGAATAAGGTGACCGGGTGTGATAATCGGATGTGATGCTGCATCAAGAATCAACCCGAGACTCCGTGGAAGGTTATGGGTCAATAAATACAGTGATTCACCTGAGACTCATTTGAAGCGTTTGAATTAGCATGGGCCAATTAGTAAGAAAGGTGAGAATTTCCAGCGGACTAAGCCCTTCTTGAGTGTGCCTGCCAAGACAGCTCTATGGGGCAGACAAACCTGCTAACGATGAAACACTGTTGCTACTGGCCCATTTCATACTAGAAGATAGACGTGAAACGATAGTAATCGTGCAGTGGCAGCGGTAGAGTTCAACACGGTGTCCGTCCCTAGATCCGTCCGGCGGCCCCGCCGAAACTCCGCCGGATGGCCCCGCAAAGAAGTCCGCCGCACGGGCCTGGCCTCCGTCAAACGCCGCCAAATACACCCGCTCCGTCCGGGAACTGGTTTCCGGAGCCACAATTAATGATTCCGCCTCGAACACTATTAGTAATTGTCTGTATGATCGAAGTCGGCCTTCTGCGGTCACTTGTAGCATGCCATCATCGTTAACCACAGTCGTAAAGCAATGTTTTCCCCGATATTGAAAGGGTAGTTGAAGTTTGGGAAGATATACTTAGAAGCTACGTGATCTATAATCTATGAAGTCATTGAATATTATCAAAACTTCGTTCGGTCTCATTCCTATCTAACGCGCGTGTCTAATTTTCTGATAGCCTCGCTTTGTCGTTCTCTCGCGTTCACCTAAATCGGAGACTTTTAGAGATAGCTTGGAGAGTTCCTTCGGACGGACCAGTTGTCAGGATGACAAAGTTCCTCAAAATATGATGCCGGATCACCAAAGTCTGCATCCCATCTGATCTCAATACATCCTGGCTTCAGGCGCAGCTGGCACGTAAAACTGACCCGGGTAACCCTTGTACATTGAAGGATAAGTCGCATCTCGCTTGGGGAACAGTTCAGGACTCTCCGAAACTATATCAGACTCGTGGTATTCATCGTCGTCGTCGAAAACTTCTTGATAGGTGGGGTTGGGTTGCATTCCGTGGCCCATGTGGCTGTTCATGGCCGCTTTTGCAGCTCGTAAAGTCTCATTCGTCTCATAAGACGACTCTCGTCTCTTGCTAGATCCATTGGCCCGCATAGCAGACTTCAGAGGGGGGGCGCTATTGTGCGATCCCGGGTGATGGGGCGTTCGGCCTCCCGCTGCTCTGTTGGGTTTGCGATACGTTCCCGCCCAGTATGCTTCGGTGTTTCGGGGCTGGGCTTCATGTCGCCCGTCACCATCTTCCGACTGACCAGCATAGGGGTGGGACATGAAGCCGCTCTCTCCATCCCGGTAAGTGGAGAACTGTGAATCGCTTCTAGCTCGTCGAGATGAAGGAGGTCGCCGGCTTGCTCCATCATTCGGCTGACGCGCATATGTTTGTTGTCGGTTGATGTCTCTTTGCTCCATCATGGAAAGCCGATGCTGAAGGTCTTGTATCGTGTTTCTCACGAGCTCCGAGTCCTGTATGGTGTCCAGTGTGGCTCTCCTTTCAAGTGCCATTCTAGGATCTCTTTGGCTACTCAGAACCGAAGCGGGATGCGATTCCGTCTGATTCTGGCGCTCATATCGTCTCCTTGCCTCGATCAGATTTGCCATCTCGTCCCCTCTCCCTAACGTCGAGTTCAAGTCGCCATAGACCGACTGGGAAGGTCTTGAGAACTCCGTAGGAGCATAGCTCCTCCGACCTGGTTCGTATCGCATTTCCAAATCTCTCATTTGCAGCTCCCGGCGCAGTTCGTCAATTTTGGTCCCAAATGTTTTCTCCATATCCTCGCGAACGCGTTCAACGTTCTTTGCCATTTCTGCTTTCTGCGCTGCTTCTTTCTTTCTTTTAGCTCGCCTAGCTCGCTGTTGTTCGCGGTCTAGTTCACGGTCTAGAAACAAGTCATCCAATTTCTGATTGACCTGTTCTATATCATATTGCTGACGTGAGGGTGCAGCTTCAGTTTTGACCCGTCGTGCTTTTGGTCGATTGACAGGCGGGCCTCCGAAGCTTGAGACACCCTTTGGAGGAACTGAAGGGTAGTTGCCGTAATAAGCACCTCCATTGTTGGGATAGGGGGCCTGAGCGTGTGTTGTTGCAGGATATGAATACGAGTTGGGCTGGAAGTAGCTCGGCGGTGGTGCTGAGGGCGGAATGTTGTTGGCATACTGAGAAGGGTGGAGTCCGTTCATGTCGTATGGTGGCATGTTCAGAGAATAAGGGTTTTGATAAGCACCTTGATTCATTGGGTTCAGGCCCGGTACATTCATTGTCGAAGTTGTTGGATTCGGTTGTGGTGGTGGTGGAGGAGGAGGGGGCTGGTACGGCGCGGCTTGAGGTGGTGCCGGTCCTGGCTTTCCGAAGTAATCCGGCGGATTGTAAGGAACAGTTTGACCGCCAGCTTGTGTCGCGTATGAACCGTATGAATCCACGTACGGTTTTTGATATTGGCTGGGGTAATTTGTGTAAGTTGAGTCGTATTCTGTCGGTAAACCTCGTTTTGCTTTGGCGTGCTGTCGAGTCTCTACCTCTGGTTCTGAGTCGGGCCAATCGCCCCCAACATCGTCGCTGCGAGGAGTTTGATGAGACGTAGCTTTATTCCGAGCTTGCTGGGCCATTGCGTCTGCTGTTTTGTTCAGAACCTCGGTCGATCAACGAGACATGCTTTCCCAGGCTTGAAATGACCAAAAGCGAGTTCCGTGCCTCTTCAATGAGCACTCTCCCAAAGACATATGCGTTTGAATTTGAGATTGAAGCCACCTCCTGTGACGTTTTACTGCGATGATGTCCTTAATATGCGTCGGGTTTCTGCCTCTGGTAAGCAAACTTTGGATCATGAAGGCAGTGCTTATCAGATTGAGATGTCGCGATGCTGTGCAGGAAAGATGAACGCAGCCCGAGGAAGCTCCAAGCAGGTGTTGGGGTAAGTTGGCTGAAATGCCAAGCGTACCGCCGCGGACTATGCAAAGATTCGAAAGCTCAATACGATAACGGGCGTGAGGCAACCAGGTTACCTTTCCAGCTCTTGGTTGACTAGCTGGTCGAGTCTGCATGCTGCATGTCTAGCTGCATGCGGCCCTTATGCGACCTCCACTCCACTTTGCACCTACTCTGACTCCTATTGATCATTTAGCGCACTGAACGCACGATATCAGCTGCAGTCATACGGAGGGGTTCGGAAATAGACTGCCATTTTTGGGTCAGGTCTAATGCAGGCGCAAGCAGCGGGGAAAGTCTCCTCGACTCGCCAGCCTGATTCTCTTCTCAACAGTCATTTCAGAATATTCAATTCCAGAAAGGTCCATTAAGTTGAGAGTAATCACTTAGATAGACACAACGATAATCGCGACAACAACACATCAGCGATGGGTGAACTGGGTCGGGTGCGCCTAAGCATCATGTCCTTCAACTTGACCCGTGAACTGAGTTACACCTCCGGCCGTGAAGGCTACGGCTTTATAGACAGTGCTCAATGCAAGGTTCTTTAATCGCGTGTGTCCAATGCAGCCGAATCTGCATCGCAAGCAGAATCGGGGCGGGGTACTGTTTCCGTCCGCGATTGAAACCAATGAAGTTCTCACACGTCAGTCGGACATGCCGTTAGAAAGTACAGAAGCTCTGCAAAGAGTTTGGTGCCATGGTGTGATGAGCGTGCGCACTGGTAGTGAGCGCCTGCAGTTTGACTTTGCAGGATTGGAGGAACTGAGTCTATCCTGGACCAGCATATATGCTATGACCGACGCACTTGGGTACTTCAGTCTTTGACCTCCGGTTGAAGCCCGGTAACCTCTTGATGTTGTCATGCTCAAGTCTGAAATTTCAATCAACCACCGAGGCTAGCCTCGAATCTCCATACCCGTGTCAAGGTAAGAAGCGTCGGCATCTATCAACCACATCTACTGGCTAATTTGCGACTTCTTGAGAACCAGTCAGCTTCAACTCAAGACACACACAAAGATCACAACATGGATCCCCTCAGTATTACGGCGTCTACTCTCGCCGTCATCCAATCCCTAATAGCAGCATTTGAAGCAATTCGGCATATCAAAGGTCTCCCCAAAGCATTCAACAATGTAGGAGAAAGCCTTCCCCTGGTCAAGGAAACTTTAGAGCTTGCCCAAGAAGTGCTCTGTGAGGAAAATCCAGACGATGCTGTCAAGCGGGAGACTGCAAAAACACTCCAAGACTGCCAGAAGAAGGCCAAAGTCATCAACAGCATCTTCAAAAACATCGAGGAAGGGAGAAAAAAGGAGAAGGATGCTAAGGACTGGTCCTTCTTTTCCCGCTTTTATCGTGAAAAGGTTCTTCCCATGGGGAAAGCGCACAAGGTGGAAAAGTTGATGGAGCAAGTTCTGGCCAAGTTGAAGATTCTGGGCATCAATCAAATTTTCAGGGCACGCGCCGACTTTCAAAGTCAAGTTGAGAAGCTCAGCAGCGCCATCAGAGCGCTGTCAGAGGTGGAACCGTCATTGGAAGACTCGGAATTCGACGCAGCTGCGACGAACTACACCATGAACGTCTCTGATTATGGCAGGGGTCTCATGGCTACGGGAGAGAATGCCAATGTCACAATGGGGGATAGATTCGAGGCTGCTGGGAGCATGAACTTCGGTATGGAGTATTTGAAATCGAGAAGTGGGAACTGAGATGGACATCACAGATGAGATAGCTAATACCTGTTGGTCAATAGCATATACATTCAGCCACGTCACAAGCTCTTGTTTGTCCAGCCCTTGAATCTCTCGTGCCGCTCGCAATCACTCACAAAACACAGGCCAACACGTTGAAACCAGTGCCTTGGAATGGATAAGGCAGATATCGCACTCTCTCGGTTTTGAGAAGGTACAGGTGGATCAGTTCCACATCGCTCACAGCACACCCAATGCAGGGAAGCGGCTCCTTAAATCTACAATTTTCAAGGAGTGGGTGAGTGGGAAACATAGAAAGCTATGGTATCATGGCATACGTGAGAAAATATCTATGAGGTCATCTGAGTGCTCAGAAAGGCTAACCATATTTCAGCTGGCATGGGGAAAACGGTTCTGATGTAAGTTGATGTTCAATTTCTTAGCTTATGGTCAGGCTCTGAATCCTCAGCTGCTGATTCTGTATTTTAGGTCGATTGTCATCAACAAACTCCTTGGAATGTCCTCGGTCAACAATAACATTGCCTGCGTATATGTCTACTTTGATTACAGGCTTCAGAACGAGCAAAATCTCACAAACGTTCTGTCCAATCTCCTACTTCAACTCCTACAGAGTCGTAATGGCACATCGAGTAAAGTTCAGGAGTTCCACGGAGCTTGGAACCGCAAGCGTTCTCACCTGGGAGCTAAAGAGTACCTTGAGATGCTGAAGGCAGAATTAAAAGCTTTCAAAACCGTCTATTTGGTAGTTGATGCGTTGGATGAGTGCCAGGATGACGGCGAACCACACACTCTGAACAGCTTCCTGCAGGCCTGCCAGACATTCCCAGAAACGGTCCGCATGCTTTTCACGTCGAGACTGTTTCCACGGCTAGAGCAGCTGATACAGCTGGACTGCAAGAAATCAATATCTGTTGATGAGGCCGATATCAGGTCATACCTCGACACGTTCCTAGAATGCGATCCCCAGTTTCAAGGGGTGGTTGAAAGCGGGAAAGCGAAGACAAAGTCGTTCTGGGACAAAGTCTCGGACACAATAGTTGAAAAGTCCCAAGGAATGTGAGTTTGCGTTCGTGAAAAGATGGCGACAATCTAACTGAGTCTTTCAGGTTTCTGCTTACTTATATGCACATGGAGTCGCTGTCCTCAACACACAACTTACACGGATTCAACCACGAACTAGCCAACCTCATGACAACTCCCGACGATGTCTACGAAGCAGCCCTTTATCGAATCAGCCAGCAGAATACTCGTCGTCGGAATCTTGCCTTCAACGCTCTCGCTTGGCTTGTCTACGCCCGGAGACCCCTGGCAGTTGACGAACTCGCACATGCGGTAGCCATTCAGGATGCGCGACAGGGGCATCTCTTGGACTCATCCGAGATCCACGGAACCGAAGAGGCTGTCACAACTGCCTGCGCTGGCATTGTCATTGTGGTTCCCATAGACGCTAGGACGAAGGTTTTCCGTCTGGCGCACGGCACCGCAGAGGCATACTTGAGAGAATGTCAGCTCCCATTCATTCAGACCGGCCATTCAGCAATCGCAGAAACTTGTCTGCGCTGTCTCACACAGATGCCGCCTAGAGCGCAGGGGTCTGGGAAAAGCGACTCTACAACATATCCTATCGTCAGGTACGCTGCTAGTCACTGGGGCCATCACCTGTCCGCGGCATCTACAGAAGGAGTTAAGGGTGACCTCTACAGGTTAGCCTGGATATACGCATCCAACCAACCATTATTGAACTACATGATGCAATTCGTTGCCGATCCAATACTTCACCGCGAGTCGAATGTTTCTGGGGTTCATATCGCCGCTTATTTCGGACTAGAGAAACTGATCAGAAGGGTAACAACGATGAATCTCAACATCGATCTCAATGCACAAACCAAACGCCTGGAGACCCCTTTGCACTGGGCAGTAACCCACAAAAAGGGAAGTTTCATAAATATGCTAATCGAGAAAAACGCCGACCTGAACATTGTGAACATTGATAAGAGGACAGCATTGCACAAGGCAGTCATGGCCAACGACAAAGACACAATTGGGAGACTCCTTGATGTTGATTCAAGACTACGCAGCCTCGAGATCCAGGACTCCAAGGGGTTTACTTGTCTAAGGTGGGCAGCCAAGTATTGGCAGTCCGATGTGGTCGAAATGCTATTGAAAGCCGAAGCTAATATCGACGCCTGCGACAAAGATGGATACACGGCACTTCGATGGGCGGCATCCGAAGGCAATAAGAAACTGATCAAGATGCTCGTTCGACGTCACGCATCTATCAAGACCCCAAGCAAAGACGAATGGACGCTGCTCCTATGGGCGGCAGCGGAGGGCCACGAGGACATCATCAGGTTTCTAGCCAAGAGACAGGTCAACCTCAATGAGACGGACGAAGAGGGTTTCACGGCTCTCAGACGGGCAGTAGACTACAGTCGCTCCATGCCTGCTTGGCTGCTCATCCAGGCCGGCGCAGATGTCAACAAACCGGACAACAAAGGTTGGCATCCGCTGCACGCAGCAGTGGAAAATTGTTGCCGATCAAGCGGCGTCAATAAGAAGAGCTCCCTAAACATCCTATGGCTTCTTCTGCAAAACCAAGCAGAAGTCAACGCGCCGACCAAGCATTACGAAAGGACACCACTTCACATGGCGTCTTCAGGCGGGAGCGCCTCCGCCGTGTGGGTTCTGCTCGAGAACGGGGCAGATCTGAAGCGAGTGGACACGAGTAAACGCACCGCCCTCCATGGTGCGGTGGAATACAAGCACATGGAGGTCATCCAGACTCTGCTGAAGAAAGACAGCAGGATCGTCCACGCAGCCGACTTTGATAAGAGAAGACCGCTTCATGATGCTGCGTCACAGGGCAGTCTCGCCATCGTTGAGATACTCCTGGATCACGGGGCGGACATTGACGCGCAGAGCAAAGGAGGAATAACTGCGCTTCACCTTGCTGTGAAACAGCAGGAGAAGCAAGTTGTGGATTATCTACTAGAAAGAGGTGCAGACATACACATCCGAGATTCCAGGCAGCAGACAGCCCTTGCTTTGGCAACTTCTCTAGGGGACGAAGCAATCGCCGGCGCGATCCATCAGATTCTTGAGATAGACAGAGGCATGGCCTTTGAGAATCAAGGCTTCAAGTATTCATAGCGTGTGTAGAGGAAAACTCAAAAAGACTTCAAACCTTCAACTGTTTCCCCCTTGTTGACCGGACTGCATCCCATGCAAAGACGAGCCACCCGGAATCAATTACCAAATACAACACCAGGCATTTCTGTCGTCGCCGAACCACCCTCTAATCCGTTCCTCACCGGTATTGTCTAGATGGAGCGGAAATTCTTTGTATCGTGATGGCTTCAACAAATCCAACTTGGTAGGCGTTTCTACGCGAAACGGACGGGGCGAAGCACACATCAGTGATCCTTCGACGACCGGATCCACTCCAACCGAGTATGCAGCCGAGCAACCCAACATAGTAACGCGTTAATTATCTGACTGAATATTATCAGATTTCATGACGCCGTGCGGGGTAAAGCCAATTAGAAAGAGGCAGGAATGTCGACAATAATCATGCGGTTTGAACTTCGTAACTACTACCCGAGTCAAAGAAGCGAAGGGTCTTTTCGTTCGCACAGGATCAGAAATTTTTCTTGCAGAGCAAAATGCAATTGGCTGCGGGCCTCAGCCGTATCTCACTGCAATGAGTCACTTTTACCGAGATCTTCCTGATGGCCACATTCGCGTCCTAACCATTCACCCCGGGAATGAAACAACACCACTCTCAGGCGTTCTCAGATCAGTACCGCTTGCATCGGCCCCCGATTTCGAGGCGGTGTCTTATGCCTGGGGCAACGAAGACTTCACCGACACACTGGATGTCGTCTTCAGTACGGAGTCGACGTCGGGCGGAAAGGAACTTACCGGCCGCATCCCGATAACACCCAATGTCACGTCTCTCTTGCGCTCCCTCCGCTATCGCAACGAGCCTCGCGTTCTGTGGATCGACGCCATCTGCATCAACCAAACCAATGTCTCTGAGAGGAGCGCGCAGGTGCAGCAGATGCGGCAGATCTACAGCTGCGCGCAACGCGTTATCATCTGGCTGGGTTTAGCGACTGAAGATGGTGAAAGTGATCATGCTTTCCGTTTCCTTCGGAGAATGGGAACATACAAAAAGCGTCACGAGCCGCGTGATTACATGAATTATGTTCCGGATGAGGTCTCGGAGTTCAGCGACGACGGGTCTTTGAGTCTCAGTGACCTAGAACGTGTGAGCGACGTCGACGGAGCTAATTGCGACGAAGAAGATGAAGGGTCTCAAAGCTCATTCCCAGCTTCCCCTTCCGATGAGAGTGATCTCGAGTCTGCTGGGTTGCTTGAACACGAAGAACAGACCTGGGATTCTTCTTCGAAGTCTTTACAGGGCGACCCTCTAGCACTCGGTAATCCCGAATGCAAGAGCGATATCGAAGCAGGTCACAGTCACGACAAAGAAGGAGAATTCTCAGGTTTATTCGTCATTGCTTCGGACGATGAATCAAAGCCCCTATCCGCGACAACGGAGCCCCACGAACCTGTAAGATTGACAACCATAGCTGGCTTCTTCAGTTGGTTCCATAGATGGGTCTCAAGAGTATCACGGAAGATCGTTCTGACTTTCGCGCCACTCGCCAGCTTGGGCTTCAAGGCTTATCGGGACCAGGAGAGTATGAGCTTCTCGGAGCAGCTGCGGGTGCGCTGGAAGCAGAACCAAGCTGTCATTGGCGGTGAGCCCTGGACATGGGATTGGTTTTTGACGCGCATGAGGTTCTGGGAGCGCATAACACGGAATCGGGCACGAGAAAGAGCAGAGATGGCTGTGACGCTTGATAATCATTTCAATCGAGTCGCGGACCACGTTGCCATCGGCTTCTCTGGGTTGTGTTACATGTTCGGCCATCCTTTGGCTCCTTTTTTCCACAAGCGCTTCCACCTCCATTGGGCAGCTGTCGATAGTCTCCTCACTCGTCAATGGTGGAGCCGCACTTGGGTTGTCCAAGAAGTCTGGAGCGCAAGCGACAGAGCTATCCTTCAGTGCGGGCAGCAGACACTCAGGTGGAAGACCTTTCGGAGAGCCATGTCTTATTCTGACGCTTGGGATGACATGGGCGAAGCAATGAGGGAGAATCAAGACAGTCGAATCGGGCTTTGGACGCAGCTTCAAAGACGCTACGGGCTGGCCATTCATCTATGCAAGATGAGACTCCTCGACGGCAAGCTTTCAGACCTGTTATGGAACACATGGGACCGAGACGCAACTGATCCGAGTTTTTGTCAACCGCGCGCGGCTAGATTCTCCCTATTTCGGAGGATCCATGGACTTTGCGCGTGTTTTCGGACACGGATACGCGGCCTGCGCTGACGAGAAGGCTGTTGCCTGGTTTGGAAACGACCTTACGACACTTCATACTCACGCTGTCCTCATTGACGAGATTAGTAGTTGGTGCGGTATACCTCAAGGTTCCGGTCCAATCGAGGTCGAGTCCGTCATCGATAATGCCTGTGCCATTGCACATCATGCTCTTCAAGGGGCAACACAGTACTGGTGGATGGAGGATGAAAGGGAGAAGAATGAGGTACGAGAGCAGTTGGTCGGCCAGTTATGGGGGAATGAAACGGGGGAGTATGAATCCCAAGCGCGAGAGATTGCATTGCAAGTCATCATCGAGAAAGTCTTGTGCGCGGGTTCTGCGGCCGCAAGTACTGTTGCTCAAGTCGTTCAAAACGTCATGCCACTTCGGCGATTCTTCGTCACAAAGGGGGAAAGATACTTGGGCATTGGTCCTGCTTCAGCACGTCCAGGTGACAAAGTTTTCGTCATAGCTGGGTGTAACTTTCCTCTCATTCTCAGAGAGATTGCTGATGAGAACGGCGATGGGACTGGGGAGTTCGAACTTGTCGGGGAATCCTACGGTGAGTAAATGATTGGGATAGCACCGAATCGGATGTTTCTGACGCATACTCAAGTTCACGGTATCATGGCTGGAGAGGCAATCTCAAGGATGAAGGAAACAGCATGGTGGGAGGGCGTTGTTCGTTGGCTTTTCCCCAAGACTGTGAAATGGACAAAGATCGTGATCCGTTAGAGATTCAAAGGCACTCAGTCGGTTTACTATTGATTTCTAGGAGTTGTATGATGAAAAGCAGCGTGTGTTGTGGACTTGTAGCCGCTGATATGGGGAACCGAGCAGACAAAATAAATACATGATTTGAGCATTGCTAAAAGAAGATAAGAAGTGCGCTCTCGGCTCTCGGCCAAATATCACCAACACCAATACCAACCTCTGGCGGGCTTTTGAAGCCATGTCGACCGTACACCTGGGAATCCGTTTCTCTCACGCGCATCGTCGCCGCGGACGACCCGGACAGCTCTATCAGATGGCGGCCCTGCTCAATTTCCCTCTTCTTGGCGAAGCCTTTCCAACTCCCGTACTCGTGCCGCGGATCTCGCCATCGCTCTCTCCATGACCTTCCGCGCGTCCTCATTTCTCTCGGCCCAGGTCCATTCGCGGTGTGGCGTAGGCCTCTTGTTCGAGTCAGCCCATCTATCTTCATTGCCAATACTAATTGGCCCGTCGTCGAGCCGCAGAACGGCCAGTCTCGTCTCGGGAGGCCACGCCTGAGAGCTACGGATTCTTCCCAAGGCGTCCAGGAGCCTCTCACGCATGTTCATAAGCCAGGGGTGCACGGCCGAGACGTAATCGTGAACCGTGACGAACGCGCCGCCGTGAGCGGGCGTCACCACGATCTGGACGTCCTGGGCCCGCGGCCGCCGTGTGTCGGTCTTGATATCGGTGCAAATCTGGTTCATCTCGACCTAGAGCTCCTCCCACGAGTCGAGGCACTCAATGCGGACGGTGAGGGCCGCGACCTGGGGCTCCATGAGGGACTCTTGCGACACGGGGTGCCAGCTACCCGACGAGAGGCCGCCAGCTTCAGCGGGGCGGAAGTATGGTTCCATGGGGTCGCCTGGCTCGTAGTAAGGGTTGATGATGATCTGGATCGCGCTTTCGAGGGGTCCGTTGAGCGTCCAGAAGAGTAGCTTGCTAGAGGGAGATGGTTGTGTGAAGTTTGGGTACTCTTGTAAAATTGCATTTAAACATCCCGAGGTTCCCTCCATTCCGCCGGCGACGGACAGGCCGGTTGTGTTCATGTTTGAGGACTTGCGTGTGTGTGAGGTCTGAAGTGAGGTGGCCTGCCGCAATGGGAAAGGGGATCACAACGGTTATATATCAGATTAAAATCCGCTACCACTTTCATCACCGTCACCTTCAACCCCATGCACCAACTAATCCCCCCCACTAAGTCTCTTAGTTAAGAACTCCCAACAACAGGACCAACACACTTCAGTTTGAATTTACACCCCAGATCTCACACCCCGCAATGTGCTACGCCTGCCTCCGACTTGGTCCCTCCCGCAATGCTCTCCGAAAAGAGAAGGACGAGACGCCGAATGGCGACAAAGATGAGATGGAGGAATACGGCCCAACAGGTGCCATGCAGGACGTTTCTCCGACCAGCTCCTAGCCCTGACGGCGCCCCGGTCTTCGCGGCGCACGAGGTGCCAGCCAGCACCCGGGACTCGGAAGCCGAATTCAGGCTTCATTGCATCGTCGTCTATGACACGACACATACGGCGCGCCCGGCCCGCAACCCCCGCCTCGCCCAAGCCTTTTTGGACCGCACTCTCGAATAGCGCAGGCGACCGAATGACAGACCGTACCGGGTCGAGTTTGCGACCCTGCTACTCACTTGGGAAAAAGCCGGCGAGAGCCGCTATGGCATCTTTCTCGAAATTGCCTGTGATCCCTGCAAGGTACTGTGGCCTATGAAGTTCCGTCAAGTCTACACCGAGGACAGGCGCTTGGCCTTCAAAATATCAGCGTTTGAGGGTTTCGAGGAAAGTTTTATATATAAGGTGGATACGATTTCCCCTTTCTACCATCATTACTAACATAACGTACTAGAATGACAGCTGGACGAGGCTAGAAGAGCCTGAGAACTGCTGCCCTTCATACATAAGTGGTTAGTATCTAATTAAGAGAAAAGAAAGAAGAGGGGCAAAGAAGAGTGTAAGTCATTCGACATTCAGAGGCGGAAGATTCGTCACACTATTTCCTGCCCCATTTACCATCATATGAAATTGACCCGTGACACCATAGACAGACCATCCGTTAGCTAATACAACCCTTAGAAACTTACCCACTTAAGGCCCAGCCGCCGATGCGGCCCCACTCCTCCGGGTCCCACCTTCCCAAAGCAGCACAGTACACTATTCGTACTCAAACCAGAAGGTTATTCTATCGCGGAGAGTTCGTCTAAAATACCTAACTAAGATCTAAAAACGCTGAAATAAAGACTCTCCTTATTTCAGATGCCTCAGTCAGATTAATAGCAAAAGTTCGCATATCTTAAATCTTAAATTAGACGTAAGTCAAGTCGTTCCATTTCTCTATAAAGCCAGAGCTAAGTATATTAGACAGGACGACATCTAAGGTCAGATTTTTATTTAAGAAACATTTCACTCCAGTAGCCCAGATTCTTCATTATATTTAGGCGTCTAAAATACGGTACCCAATTAGCGTGTATTCATTCTCACTAAAAAGACAAAGTGAGGCTGTTTAGTAATAAGGCTGCCCCTTACGCGTCCCTAGAACGTTATATATTAAATTAAAAGAGTTAGTTACAAAATACATTTTTAATATTTATTATTATAATAGTAGACGAGGTTATAATAACTAGCTAATATACACTTTTAGGCAGTATAAAAACGTTATTAGTTTAGTAATCTCTCCTTCTAGCAGCTAGAAACTATATATATATAAAAACTATTTCTAGGAGCTTTATCTTATTATTTATTATTAAATAAATAGACTATTAATATATAATTTTAATACTAAAGTTATAATTAAGTATTAAGAGCGTACTACTATTAACTAAAGTATTAAGGGTATTATATAAAGTAATAAATAAGATCCCTCTTACTAAATATAGGTCTTAATATTAATAAATATTAAAGCTTATCTTCTTACTTTTTCTTAAGTCTTTCTATTTTATATATAAAGAGCCTCTATTAGGGCTATTAACTAGTAGCTACCTTATTACTACCCTATAGCCCCTTTATATCTTACTCTTATATTTAATATAAAGCTCCCTCTTAAGAGCTTATATCTCTATAAGCTTAAAATAGCTTACTTTATATTATATTATAGCTTTATTATTATTATAGCTTTATTTTTATTTCTATCTCTCTAAATAAAAAACTTATTTTTTTTTAGAGTAAATAAAATAAAAAGTAATTTTTTTATTTTAATAACTTTATTTAATCTCTAGCTTTTTATTAATTAGCTTAATTATTATTATTTTTAATATATTTTATTATTAAGTTTTTTATTAACTTTTTTTTCCCCTTTAGTCATTATAACTTTTTATATATAACTCTTATAATACTCTTTTTTTATTATATTTAAGCTAATTTATAGTAAATATTAAATACTTTATATATTTTCTTATTTAGCTAATTATTATATATCTCTCTTTCTTTTTAATATTATTACTATTAATATATTAGCTCTTTAATTTTAATTAACTTTAGTTTTAAAAATATTAAAATTATCACTCTCTTTTACTTTATTATCTTTATTATAAGTTTTTTTTATTTTATTTAATAGCTATTTCTTTATTAATTCTCTTTAAATAGCTAATATTATTATTATTAATATTAAGAGTAACTCCTTTAAGAAGCCTAACTTAAATAAATATATTTTATTTATTAATAAGATTATATATATTATTTAAGGGTAAATATCTTATATATTATTAATTCTTTATTAAGCTAATAAATATATTACTAAAAAAAAAAAGCTTAAGCTTTTTATCCCCTATAGTATTATTTAGCTTATAGGCTATATTATTTATTTATACTATTTAGCTAAAAATACTAAATCTAAGCTTTATACTAATTAGCTTAATATATACTTCTATACTACTCTTTTATTATTTATTTCCTATTAATTAGTTTTACTATAAGCTTAAGTAATTACTATACTTAATATATAGATAGCTTTTATGTCTATTTTAGCCCTATAAGTATTAAGCTACTCCCTTATTACTTATTTATTACTAACTCTTTAGGTTTCTATTAAAGTTATTTCTATTACTTAATAACTTATTTCTATTATTATTATTATTAACTTTATTAAAGAGGATAATAAAAGCTATAAATAAATATAGCTATTTTAATATTTCTTTATTACTTTAATACTAATTATTTTAAGCTTATAAAGAGTATACTCTTATAGATAGTAACTTAAATTATATATTATAATATATTACTTATAGTATTATTAAAGACTTATTTATATTTAGTACTCTTACTCCCTTTATATACCCTCTTATTATTATTATTATTATATTTATATTATTTATTATTAATATTATTTCTCTTTTAGAAACTATTTTTATTTTATATACTCTCTATATTATTATTATACCTCTCTTTTTATTTAAATAAATAGAACGCCTTATAGTTACCTTTAAAGTAATTTTATTTATAGTTATTTCTATATATTAAAGCTATTATTACTTTATTTATACTTTATATTAACTATATTATAATACTTTATATTTAAAAATAAAGAAAAAAAAGAAGAGAAATAAGAATAAGAGAGTTAAGAGGAGTAAGAGAGTTAAGAAGATACTAAATAAATATATTTAACTTACTTTTCTCTCTCTTCCCTCTTTAAGGAAAAACTACTTTTATATTATTAATATATATTATTTTTATTTTTATTATTTAGCCTTTAAGCTATAAATATTTAAGCTTTAGCTTTTAATTAATTTAGGCAATTAATAGGGACGCATAACGAATTAATAGGGACGTATAGCTCTCTTGGACGCATAATAATCTCTACCTCCTTATTAGCTCAAAAAAAATTTATTAGTATAGTTAGATTCTGCTATATACTTTAGAAGTACTTCTCCTAGCCCCTTTAAAATTTCTAGCTCCTTACCTTCCTTATCTTTATTAATAACGTTAATAATAGCCTCACTAGTTATTATCTCTAGTTTATTGCCTCTAATATATTAAACTCCCTATTATAGGGCTTATAGTAATAGTTCTATTAAATAATACTTACCTAATAAGCGCTAATAACGTTAAAGCCTAAATAAACCTAACTAATATCTTTCCCTAATATCCTTATCTAGTAGTATTAGTGTTAGCTACTACTATAGGCATAGTGATGATAAGGCTCTCTATAATATCTTTACTATAACTATATACCTAGAGCGGTTTAGTAGCTAGCTAGAACTATAAGGATCCCTTAGGCTAAATAAAACATTATAGGAGATATATAATAACTATAAAATCTTCCTTAGTAATGACTTTATATGCTGCTAACCTATAACCTAACTTTAGTGCATTATAATGCCTCTACCTAGCCCTAAATATAGTACGTTACCCTCCTATAGGGCTAACCTTTTACCCCAGCCTGAGGAGTAAGAAGACTAGTAGCTATTAGATACTAATATAGCTTAATTCTAAATAGCCTTAAGCCTTATGCAATAGGTAATTAGAATAGAGCAAAGGCTTAATGCTAACCTCCTGCGGTCTTATAAACGTATCTATTACTAGTGGGAGATATAGGGTTTATCTCCTTACTCCTTAGTTATATTAATACCCTTAGACTCTCCTCCCCTATACTCCCCCCCTCACTACTAAAGCTCAAATATAAGCCTAACGCTATTATACTATATAGCTACTTTAGTATAACTATTAAGTAATAAGTCCTCCTCACTAGCGCCCCTTAAAATACTAAACCTATTAATACCTAGAATACCTAAACTAACTATTACGTCCCTCTTAAATAAAATTAATATATTTATAAAGATAGCTAGCTTTAGTATAGCTAGGTATAATACCTATAAATATAAGGGCTATATTATGTGGTATATATTCTATTATAATTAGTTTGGGGAACTAAAGCCTAGCTAAGGCGTTAGGATTAAGTAATATAAGTCTTAGAAGTATAGCTATAAATAGCAGGTTATTATAGAAGTATGGGAAGAAGGGAAGTAGCTCCTAAGAGCTCACCCTAATCTAGAGTATAACTAATATAATCACCCACTTAGCCTTATATTACAGCCAGCTAA